AGCCGATGCGAGGTCGAAACTGCAGTCCACCTCAGTCTGGATGAGAACAACTTTTAGGAAAGCAAGGCTATGTGAAATTTAATGGAAACGTCAGCTCAACTCATATCATTGTGCGAAAATTCTACTACCAGTCCTTCATCATCTTACACGAAATAGGTTGAATACATCTCATTTGATGATATCTGTCAGAGTATAGACGAAAGCTTAGCTCAGGCTAATTGCAGTCACTGGATGGTGAGCCAAGGACTTCTTCGCACATTCTAATTGTCTCCACTCCGCAGCAGTCTTCCTTCGGTTTCCGGTGAGACCATTTCACGAATTCCTTCCAACCAACTTCCCTTCGATATGGAAAGTCGCGTCACAATAAGTTCTCAACTTTCGTCTGTCGTATGACTGACATCTTCAGAGCATGTTACCATTCCTACAACTAATTCAAGCTAACGAATAAAAAAAGCCCCCGGCTTATGCATATACACATATACATATGTATCGAGGTATAGAGTGATTTGGTTAATTCATGTTCTAATCAATCAGACTTTCTCAAACTTGTATGTGTGTAAGTGCGTTACGTAAAGGTACAGAACCAGCAGTGATAGCCTAGGAAATTATTTTAAATCGTAACTCCGCTCCTCATTCTTCAACTTTCACTGACTCTTTTTTAGCCCAACGACTATTCTTTAAAAATTCTATGGTGTGACTATGATGTTTAGATATTTGCTTTATTAATAATCTGCTCGTTTTGAAGGGAGATCAGTTTGCGTAATGGTCGTCATAATAGGACAATTTTAATAGAAGAAATGATGATCCATTTAGATGGCTGAGGAATATACAGAATTTTAGCGAAGGATCCGACTAGGGGTCTAAAGGCCAGAAATAGGTGAGTAATTAAAGTGTTTTTAAGCGGCGGGTAAATGGATACATGGAAAATGAATTCTCTTCTTTAATGTGAAGCTATGACGCTCTCAGCTTGCGTTTTTCCACAGATATACAAAAAGAGACTCCCTCTAAGATTGGGAATTATGAATTTATTAAATTACTGTACCAGAAAATTACAATTGAGGATGAAATTTTGATAAATCTCGTTGTTTTATCCATTTAAGCCAGCACTAGCAATTAGGCTAGAAGGACCCCCGAGTATCATTTGAGTGGTTCAACCAAGGCCAAGTAGGGCCTTCTTCATATTCATGTTCTAATCAATGTAGAGACAGGCTTGTGTGCGTGTGTGCGTTACGTAAAGGTACAGAACTAGCAGTGATAGCCTAGGAAATTATTTTAGATCGTAACTCCGCTCCTCATTCTCCAACTTTCAATGACTCTTTTTTGGCCCAACGACTATTCTTTAAAAATTTTCTGATGTGACAATGATCTTTAGATATTTGCTTTAATAATAATCTACTCGTTTTGAAGGCAGATCAGGTTTGCGTAATGGTTGCCATGATAGGTCAATTTTAATAGAAGAAATGATGTTCCATTTAAATGGCTGAATACGCGCAAGAGGACTGCAGCTTCGACCCCACCCAATCCTGACCTTCCTTGAGATTCACATCTGACCTGTGACCCAAGGGCACTAGTGGAAATGTGGCGTAATACTTAACTTGTCGAGATTGTACGATGCACTTACATGATTCGAGTCCCCGTAGGGTTGCTGAATAGACCAAGACGAGGTTGAAGCTGCAGTCCACTCTTGCCTAGCTGAGAATACCTTTTGGGGAGCAAGACCATGTGAAATTCAATGAA